ATATTTTTAAAGAAATGAAATGATTTGAACAAAAATAAGTGACAGCACTGGAGTTTAATTTGCAGAGGAACATAAATAAGCATAAGCCCATGATATTATAGCATATGGCTGATAAAATACATGAGGGAGGAGGAGCTTTTCTTTCTTAGGGAAATTTAATTACTAAATATAGAAGGAAATAAACATAAAAAATCATCATTTGGTAAGCACCACAGCAGTAGCTGCGGAACAAGTTCCACAGATGGCTGCCAAGAGTGCAGTGAAAGCTGGAGACAGACCTACAAGTAGTAAATTCTCCCTACAAGATACTGATTTAATAGCTCAAAATAGCTATCGGAAGACATTCGACAAACACCTTAATTTAGTGATTGTACTAGTCACTTTTCTGTTGCTGTGATAAAACACCATGACCAAGGGAACTTATAAAAGGAAGAGTTTCTTTGGCTTATAGTTCCAAAGTGGCAAGAGTCCATCATGGCAGGTAGGCATGGTGTCAGAGGTGGCTGGAAAAGGAGCAGAAGCTAAGCTCTCAATTTTTCAAGCAGGCACAGGAAGCAGACATGACTGGAGATCCAGCAAGGCTTAAGAACTCTTTAAGCCCACCTCCATTGATATGCTTCCTCCAACATGACCACACTTTCTAAGACCTCCCAAAACAGCACCACCAACTGGGGACAAAATGCCCAAATACTTGGAGTCTATAGGGGTCATCCTCATTCAGACCATCACAGTGAGTAAGGCTAATGTCAATGAAGACAGAACATGCCAACATTTATGAATCTGTTGATGAGATGCACTAAGAGGAACAGACCAGTCCATGGTATAGTTCCAGAAATGCCAACTCTCACTCTTTTCGTGAAAAGCATCAGATAAATATTTATATTGAAGGACTACAAAATAAGTGACCATAAAACTTCCAAAATATCAAAACTATCAAAGCACAAGAAGTTTGGGAACCCTGAGAAGAATGTTGTAAAATGCAACATTCCTGGGTTCCTGAAAGAAGGAAACGACTGTAGTGTGTTGGGTCCTGATTAATTCATCCACTCCTTTACTTATGGCGAAATTCAAATACGAGCTGTTGTTCTGCTAACAATATTCTTCCAATGTTAATTTCCACAGCTCCAATGATAATTTGACTGCTTATGTAAGAAGCTAACATTAGGGAGAGTTGGATGAGGGCATATGTAGTTACTGTTTTTGTGACTTTTCTGTAAATCTGAAATTAGCTCAAAATCAAAAGGTAAAACATTAAAAGCATCAAGAAACTTGTTTTAAAAAAATGAGAGCTAAAAGGGCCTAAACTCCAGAAGGCAAAAGCTCAGGAAAAGGCTGACATTCTACTCCACTTTCTCCCTAGCAGCATCTGCTGATTCAGGGTTGCTGCTGGGGGAAGAGACAAGACAGCAAAGCTCTGGTACTTTTACGATGGAATTGTTTACTTGCAACACACATTATATAAATATACTGCAATATATATGTATACATATATAGGAAAAAATTGTACAAAATGGAAAATAAAGGGGGCGTCCAAAATAACTGAGTAAAAGAGAACATATCCAAACAGCCAATAATAAAGTTATGATCAATTTCAATAGTGATCAAGGAAATGTAGATTAAAATTGAAACTACAAAATGCTATCACTCATATTAACCAGAATGGCAACGCATAGGCTGGAAGGAGTATACCTTGAAATAACCACTTAGAAACTGGCAGTATTTACTAACACTACACACTGAACAATAGTGATTCCATCTGTAGGTAGATAACCTAAAAAAAAAAAAAAGAAGCACACACACACACACATTCTTCAAGTTAAGACGAGGTTATTTCCTGAAGCTGACAACATTCTATGAAACACAGAATGCTTTTAATATCCCCAATTTCCCAAACACCACAGCTTAACACGACCTCCCTTAAGCATGCTCAGATTATTAACATTAAATATGAACTTGAGTTTTTAAAAAGGATAAACATATGTATATGGTATACTCATAAAAGAAAACTATATACTAATGTGAATGGATCTACAAATGTAAAAATATGGATAAATCTTGGGACTGGAGAGATGGCTCAGCGGTTAAGAGCACTGACTGCTCTTGCAGAGGACCCAGGTTCAATTCAGCACCCACATGGCAGCTACAAACTGTCCTTAACTCCAGTTCCAGGGGAATCCGACACCCTCTTCTGACCTCTTCCAGCATTGCACTCACACACTTGCAGGCAATACACTCATACACATAAAATAAGAATAATAAGTTAAATTTTTAAAAAAGCA